TCCTGACCCGCCCGCTGCTCCCCTCAGCAGTGTACTTCGTCGATCTGCCTGTTCTGCTCCCCACTCTGTCTCTGGTGAAGCCTCTCACTGCCCCTGGGCCTCTGGCCTATACCCCAGTTCTGTATGCACAAATAAATAAATCTTTAAAAAAAAATGATTGTCTACAAACAAAAACACTTTTAAAATATCATCAAAAGGAAAAAAAATACTTTATCCCCCCCAAAGAATCTGTGGTCTCTGAGAAGGTGCCAGTGAGTTTACAAGGGTTTCTGGATATGCATATTGGTGGTTATGGAGGCGACCCAGAGGTCTTCCCAGGGACCCACTGGCCACGGTGCTGTAGTCTTGCTTTTACTTTTGCTGACTTGTAACTGCTGATTCACTAACACTGTAAAACTCACTTATCATCAGTGAATTGTCACCTGAACTGTCTGGGTGTGAATTCAGTTTATCAACAATACAGATAGTTAAATGGGTCCCCAATCACTTCCTTTCTTAGAAAATTTGAAACACAAAAATGAATGGAAAAGAACCCACAACTTATCTTCCACCACCCCCACCATGTGCCCAGGATCTCTGTATTTACATCACAGGAACCCTTGAATCCTTACACAAACAAGGTGGCACAGGCATTAGTATTCTCAATTGGCCACAGGCTAAAAAGTTTAGGTCACTTTTTTTCACTGGAAATGCTAGAAAGTGCAAGAACTCAGGGTCAACTGCTGGTCCACATATCTGCCTGTAAACTACTAAAAAATCTACTAACTCAATCATATCACTAAGTTGGGCTGGTTTCTAAAATCATCAAGCTTAGTTTGTATACTAGATTTAATTTATATTAAATACATAGTTTACACATTTATATTGAAATGCAAATAAGAACATAATTTTCCTATTCATTGACTTCTGGCATTTGGGTCATCCAGGCTGAAGCCTTCCACTTCAATTTTAAGAAATGGAGCTCAAACTTTTTCTTTTTTCCCCCTTCTTTTCTATGGGACACCATGGTCTTACTAGGTTCCTAACACAAATAAGCAACAACCTGTAATTTATCACAGATAAGTTATCAAATAAGTTTTGAACAATGGATAATTCTTTTGCTACACTGGGACAAATAAGGAAACTAAGCTCAAGCCTGGGGGCGTCGGAAACTAGGGGCATCAGAGAAGACCTCGCATCCCGCGTCACAGCTGCAGCACTTCCTGTGGCTCAGCATGCACCCCAGACTTAGGATCACATGTAACTTGTAAATCTTTAAGAAGATCTAAGGAAGACCGTATGTGTTCACGAGCAGAACACGTTTTGCCAGAATAGAAAGGGAGCTGTTTAATGCTGCAGGTTGTTGTTGGTTCCTTGGATTCTGAAGACCTAGAAACCTGAGGCTCTTAACTATATTTCTTATAAGGCTCAACAGCACACAAATATCTGTGTGTGTGTGTGTGTGTGTTTTAAAGATTTATTTATTTATTTCATGCATACAGAACTGGGGTACAAGCCTGAGGTGCAGGGGCAGTAAGAGGATTCACCAGAGACAGAGTGGGGAGAACAGGCTGACTGACGAAGTACACTGCTGAGGGGAGCAACGGGTGGGTCAGGAGAGGTCTGCCGCGCCATGTGGGTCACCTCCCTGGCCTGTGATCAAACTCAAGGTGAAGAGGCTGCAGCCAAGCTTCGTAGTGCTGCAATTTAACCCCTTGCACCACCAGAGAGGGCCCACAAATACCTGTTTGTTTGTTGTTTTTTTTTTAGGTAATACATCTAACATAGCTCTGTTGGCAGTGGCCAGCAAACTTTCTGGAAGGGACCAGAGAGTAGACAGCTGAGCTTTGGAGGCCCTTACCAGCCATGCAGCTCTGCCACTGCAGCATGGACATGGCCATGACTGATCTAAGGCGCAGTCAGGGATGTGTCCTATAAAGACCAGTGAGCAAGAACAGCCTGTGGCTTTGAGCCACGGGCCATAGCTTGCTGACCCTTGGTCAAAGCTGGACAAATCAGCTGAAACATTTCAATCAAAATATAATTTAGACAGTAGGACCAGCATTGCTTTATGTCCTTTACGCCTCCCACTCCCAAAACATAGCATCCTTTGTGGATCTGGTTTTGTATAACTTAAAAGTAATAAAAGAGAGTCTAAAGGTAATATTAAACATTTGTTTTAAAAATTACAATTTTCTTTTATATTAACTTTCAGGAAGAAGACTTGAATTAGCTAAATGGCATGCCTTTTTTTGGATTTTTAAAATTATTATTACAAAAGTTTATTTTTACATTTTGTATATATATATTTTTTCCATCTCAATTGTAATTCCCGCGGGTTTCCCATCATCAAGTCACCCATGTGCCATCACCATAATCCCGTGCATTTCCTTCCCCTCCACCGTTTTTGATCCCATTCTCCACTCCACCCCTGCAAAATGTGGCATGCTTTTTTTTACATCAAAATATAGCTGCAGTTGGCCCTCCCTGGTGGCGCAGCGGGTTAAAGCACAGTACTGAGAATCTGAAGCCACTTCCGCATGAGTTCGATTCCCGCCTGCCGCCTGCCCCGAGGAGACCACATGGCGAGCCAGACCTCTCCTGACCCGCCCGCTGCTCCCCTCAGCAGTGTACTTCGTAGATCTGCCTGTTCTGCTCCCCACTCTGTCTCTGGTGAAGCCTCTCACCGCCCCTGAGCCTCTGGCCTGTACCCCAGTTCTGTATGCACAAATAAATAAATCTTTAAAAAAAAAATATAGCTGCAGTAACTAGAAGAAGAGGATACTGAAATAATCACCAATAAAAACAGAAGATCAGAGGCTGGATATGATGACAGTATAGAGCTACTTCCTAAAGTAAACTATTCCAGATTTAGGAATCTGGCATAATATAGTTTATGATCAATTCTGCCACCCAGCTTCCTTTCATTCCATTGGATTTCAACCTTTGTCTGAAACCCCATAATTTTATTCCCCTCTTTCTAGACTCAATCTGGTTCCAGCAGGCTCTGACTGACTGACAGTCAACCTGCTTTGCAATTCTTTCTTCTCCTGTATTGCACAGTGCTACAGTTCCCAGAAAATGTGTTTAACCATTTTTTTTAAATAAAAGTAAAAACAGCAACAAGAAACAAGTCATGCTTCAAGATCAGTAAAGTGTTTCGTCTCATTAAATCACATAGGTATAAACAAACTAATTAGCATTCTTCATCTGTTCAGCTGATGAAATTACACTAGAAAACAGATGCATTTGGGACTGATACCTTGGAAACCTGCTTGGAATAGAGAATATGTTCTTCCACTAAGTAGTGAGGATTTTTAGGTATAAAAACTTCAGCAAATGCAGCAACTTCAGCAAATGATTCCATCAGTCACAGCACTTCATACAGCAGGACTGGTTGCAGAAATCAAAGTAACATGGCAAGGGAAAAACAAATTAATTAAGTTACAAGTTTGGTGACAAGACTTTGGCAAGCATGGAAGACATGTTCTCGGAAATCCAGAGAGGGACCTGTCATCCCCGTAGCTGATGATTAAACAGCTTCCAAATACATGAAAGTTTCTCTACTAGTAAGAGATTAACTCTGCTATGGTAAGAATATGACTTAGCTTTGGCTTCATATTAATAAGCAGGATGCATTATTGTTTAGGTAAGAGAGTCATCCAACATTTCAACTCTAAAAATTCATTAAGCAAGGAAATTCTCTAAGAATTCATTCAGTAAGGAAATGCTGTTTCTCCGTGTAAAGTACATTGAGGAAAGACCCTATAGGTACTCGGATGTTTTTATAAAAACAAGTCTTTCTCCCCACCCCCAGGACAAACTGCCGAGCTTGTTTTTTTCAACAAAAAAATTGCAAAGGAGAAAAAAATGATGGAGGAGATACCCAGAAAAGATAAATTCCATGACACCTGTCAAACTGCTGTAATGTGGCAACCTTATTTGGATTCTGAGTCAAACAAGCTACAAAAGCAAGTCTTAAAGAGCAATTTTTAATTAGAAATTGGAAGGAATGAAGAATTAAATCTCATATTAAAAGCACATAGCTCTAACCAATGTCCAAAGTTAGATTTAGAACTAGCTATGTCCAAATCTCTGACTAAATGGGTTAGCATTCTAAGACCAAATTTCAAAATCCGAATTTTTAATAGTATCCGAACTAAGCACATAACTGCAAAACAAGCTACCTTAGTAAGGGCAGAGCTTGAGTCTCCCACACAAACCATCACAACCACTTCCATAAA